TCCCGCTAGCCGTACACTAGAAACGAAGAGGCCTTATTTTCACTTTTCCGGCACTATATGTGTATCTTTATTTATATATTTAGTTAGGGCAGCAGGATTTTTTTATTTTTATTTTTCAATGTAAGAGTTTATGTGAATATTCCAGCAGTTTTCAATTCCCTGTTGAATCTATTGCCGCACCTCTGCACCACGCCCCTCCAACACTTCATGTGCAAACTTGACCATAGTGGCCCTTCCCCTTCCCCAACCCCAACGAAAACGTGGCTGGACTGGTTACAGCCTCACAGGTGGTCTGTGGCCAGATGTATGATTAGAATCAGTCAGAATCAGGATGCGAGAAAAAAAAAGAAAAAAAAGAAAAAGAAGAAAAAAGAAAGGAAAGGAGAAAAAGGAGGGGATAGGAGTGGAAAACTAGTGTTCCACATCATGTCCCGCAATTTCAGTGCCCCGCTCATTAGGAGTGAGTAGCCCTACGGCAGTGGCTAAACAATTGGCTTGATGGCCACATGTGGCATGCTGCTTGCTTGCAGTAAACATTTCCAGTGCGTTAAAACTTAAAACCCCGTGTACAAGCCGCGATTTTTGGAAACATACGGGCCACTACAGAAGTGCCCAAATTCATCCGACAAGAAATATTTCTCCCCTATTCTTTTCCACTACCGATAGTTGTGCCAAGTACTGGTGGTTTAAGGGCTTATGTCCTGCCCATACAATGTCATTCCTCTGTCTTCAGGTATTCCATAACACCATTGCCCATAATAGTGTCTCAAACACATCTGCGCCGATTCTGCGGTTCGGTAACCAGCATCAACACACTGTTCCTTGCATTATACCACCATCGGACCGCGCAGTTCATCCCACTACAAAGAAGATGGGAGGCATACCCCGTCCTCCACAAAGTGTCAGCAGCCTGTGGACTGCGCCAAGCCTCTCCACTGTCTTCAATCTTCAAACCAGCATTGCCATCCGGACAGGGGATCCACAAGTACTGTTGATCCTGACCCCTGTCTGACCCATCGAGTAATTTCAATCGGGTCTAATAACTTCCCATTAATTAACAGGCTCGGAGATGCAGCGTTAAAAAATTAAAAAAAAAAAAAAAAAAAACGTTTGCAACTAGTTACGAAGTTTGATTCCACAGTTCAATCTCAAAAAAAGAAATCAAGCAACAGCACTCCAACATGAGCTTCAGTTCTGTTAAACCATCAGTACTTGGCCCAGCTATCGATGCCGAGGCTGAAAAAAAGGCCTCCGCGCTGAGGTAGTGGTGGTTTAAAGCACTAGCCCCTCCGCCAGTGTTGGGAAAACTGGCAATTTTCCCAAACTCCTAAAAAATCAGTGGCCGCGGCCGACAACGGCTGTCATTGATAAATCTCATCAGCAGCCGTCGCTTCGATTCGGCAGAGGCCGCGGCCAACAACGGCTGTCATTGATAAATCTCATCAGCAGCCGTTGCTTGCATTCGGCGCGCGCTTTTCCGACTCGGCAAAGGTACTGGTGATTTATTGTATTCTATTCCTGGGATATCGGAGGCCCGATGTTTTCCCACTCGAGGCCCCCTATTTTCCTAAAAAGTTGGAGGCTCACCCGAGACCCGCTATTTTCCCACCCAGCAAAGGTACGTGCGTTTTAATGTATTCCATTCCCTGGAAGACGGCCATGACTGTCCAAAACTTGCCGCCCCTGAAGCAAGCCTGCCTGATCAGGGTGTATCAGCATCGGCAATACAGCTCGGAGTCTTGGACCCTGTGACGCCAAAAATCGTAGCCAGCGTTATCGGTCTTGTAGACCTAATCTGTGTATCTGATCCCTTTCTTATGAACGGCAGTTGGCATTCCTTGTCGATGCAGTCCGGACTCCTGAGTCCTGAATATCATCATTTGTGCAGTTCTTTTTTCCCGAAGTGAAAAAGGGACTCGAGGGAGACATGACCAGTCACTCAACTTTTTTTTCTTTTTCTTTTTCCGCAGTCGGCTTTCCAGAATTGATGTCATTAATTTGCAGACTCGCACTTCGTCCGAACGGTGTCCAAATCCAAAACCTGTGGGTACGCTGAAATTAGAAAGGGTGCAAAAACACGACAAAAGTGACAAAAAAAAGCAATTCAAGTGGGTGAATATTATCGGACATAATTTTATTTTGTTAAACGGTTTAAGCTTGAAAGCACTCCTACGCAGGCCTTGCAAATCTTGTTGCTGAAAAAATTATAATCCTACAAGGGGCACAAGTTCCACAGTTTGGGGCCAATGGACCATGACGTCTGCTGCTCCCAGCCAGAAAGATTAAAACGCCCACCCGCATGCAGCAGTTCATTTTCTTTTGGCACACTTGGCAGCCGTGAACAAGAACAGCCTCGGACGTAGTGGTGGTTTAAACCACCAGTACTTGGCCCAGCTATCGGCCACGGGCGATTCCCGTTAACGCGCTGGTAATTGTGGGCTTCAGGGCACCGAACCACAATGGCTGGAAGCGCCAGCCAAAATCAAAACGAAACGGTGCCCCGACGGCTCAACAAAACTTGTTGCGCAGGGGGTATCCCGGCCCGTCATCAATAGCTTGGCCAAGTACTGGTGGTTTAAAAAAGGGAAAAACAAACAGCTCTTAAGGGGAAAAGCTGGAAAACACATTTCGGAGATTATCAAATCTGGGTTCGCCGCGGACTTTCTACTCCAGATATCCAGACCTCAATCCAGACACCACAGAACCTGCACGACATGAGCCAAACGCGGTACATAGGTTCAAAAGCAAGATGTTGCCCGCCGCATGCGCTCTCCCGCCCCCCACCATCCAAATTCCCCCTCAACCAACATGGACACTGTGATGAAGCAGACAGGCTGGTCACTGCGAACCCGGGAGGGTGTAACCTCCCACCGGCGAGTTACGAGTATATCCCACCAAATGTCAATGAGCGCAAAGGGAATGATGCACAGTTGCGCAGGCATACTTCACATGTGTGGTCACCACAACTATCCAGGAAGGGTCCTAGATGACGGGAGAAGTATGAGGCTGACAGGTATAGTGTTTGAAGAAAAACCCCTTGAACCAAAAAATGTAGGGACCACACGTGAAGTATGCCTGTGAAAATCTGAATTGATAGGAAGTTAGGAACACAATTAGGAGCGCCCGGTAATGATGCAGAAGATTGTCCCTACCAATATCGTCTACCTTCGAGTATAGCAAAGAACACTAGGATACTACATGATACTACATGCTATGATGAAACCCCATGTGAGAAAGCTCCTCTACGACAACTCTACACAAAAATTGAGAGACTGACAATCACATAATTCCGGCCAGATTTTGAGGCTCCCCACGTCAGCAGTATCATCTACATCATCGTTCTGTTTTATGTTTCAGAAAATTGCACAAAGAGTTATCCCCCATGTTTCCTTCCTATCCAGGTAATGATGCACCTAGAACCGTTTTCCAGCAGGTGATGCTTCCCTTCAATAGATGGAGCCTCTCCCCAGGTGCTAGTGGTGTCTGCTCTTATCAGCACCACTACTACTGGTAGGGGTGTTGTTTAACAAAAAAAAAAAAAAAAAAAAAAAAAAAAAAAAAAAAAAAAAAAAAAAAAAGCTCACCTTGGGCTATCTGAACAGCATCTCTAGACTATGGTTATGCCGTAAACGAGAATTGTCATCCGTGATATGCCAGCTACGGTACTCGCATATTGCTGTGGTTACACTGTAGAGCGGCGAGCGCTACTCTGGTTTGCACTATTAACGCCGGGACGCATGTTTATACGACGATAGCCCCGAATCAGAAGCAATAATCGCAAGTGCTGTGCCCAGCGAAAGAAGGGCTTTCCAGGCGAGAAACGACCACAGTGAGCTTGCACTACTGAGTCCGGGGCGCGTGTTTATACGACGATACCCCGGAATCAGGAGGGGTAATTGGGTAATTGCAAGTGCTGTGCCCGCCGAAAGAAGGGCTTGCCAGACGAGAAACGACCATGGCGGGCGCCAGGATGGTGAGCTTCCCTATAGGTGGGCAGGGCGACAGCGCTTGCAAACAATGAGTCCCGCTGGCTAAGTACCTACCAGGAATATGCTACCTTGACAGGAGGCTTGAAGTCTGCTGATGCAGACTGCTGACCAGACAGGGCAGGCAACAAAACTATGTGATTGCATTTCCAGTCACATGCTGTGTACTTGACTGCGGTGGGGAAAATTCTAATCAGGGTTGATACCCTGGATCTACCATAGACCCATATTTCAAGTTCAAACTTCAAAGTTGTAAATTTAAACACAATAACCTTGAGAAGGGAAAGGACTTGCCTCTAAGAAGAACCTTGCTCCACTACTCACCAAATGTGCAAAATGAGAATGAATCATCCGCTGGAATGTGGAAAGATTCACCGCCATTTTTATTTTTATTTTTTTGGGTCTTTTGAACCTTAAAAAAGAGAGAGAATTTTTGTTTCATATTTGAGGAACAATTATTCCCAGGGAAAGAAGAAAGCAGCGGATCATACCCAAAACCACTTACTTCCAAGCAAAAGCACTCGCTCGCAAAATCGCCTCTCTACAAGTGCCCAATGCCATTTCTGCAAGCAACGGGTCCGTGAAGTCGACCGAGTACAACCTCTAGAACCTGTCACGTGTCATAAGCAAGCACATGTGGTATCGCCGCACAAAACCTTTCTGTATCCTTTCTTCAGTTCCAAGCACATACAAACCTTCATTTGATCCAGGACCATAAGAGCCTGAAAAAAACTTCATTTGCAGTCAAATCCTTCACAAGGATACTTGCAGAAGAGAATTTGGAAAATGGTTGCCCCACACATCAATCATCCAACCACATATTGCCGCAATGTAACCATACTTACCATGCTTAACCATACTTAACGTACTTAACCATACTTACCATACTTAACCGTACTTAACCATACTTACCACACTTATCATACTTAATGTACTTAACCATACTTACCACGCTTAACGTAATTAACCATACTTACCACACTTATCGTACTTAACCATACTTACCACACTTACCGTACTTGCACATGTTTACTTACCATACTGGCATACTTGCATCTGGGTTCAAACACAGGTCTGTATCAAATGCTTCGGAAAATGAGACTTGCAGAAGAGAATTTGGACAAGTTTGCCTGACAAACAAAAGCACATCAATCATCCAACCACATGTTACGGCAATATGATATATAGCCATGGTACCATATTATCGAATACCATCGATAGATTCCATACTCGCATCTGGATTCAAACTCAGGTCTGTATGATAAGAGTCAACTGGACAAGGCGAACTTGGATCCACAGTGCGTACAGATACAGACCTGAGTTTGAATCCAGATGTGAGTATCTGTACGCACTCTTCTTTGCGGTTGGAATCAATGGAATGCATCCATCCTTGCATCTGGATTCAAATTCAGGTCTGTCTGCAAACAGTCGATGGGTGTACGGCACTGTACGTGCTGGGCTAGCTCGGGATGCGTAATCTTCTTTGTAGTTCGCAGACGATGTTCTCGTATTCCTCGTCCAATTTATTTGCTTTTCTAAGTTTTTTTCCTTTTCTTTTTTTAAATGCTCCGATTTCTCGCTGTAGCTGTACAGAACGTGCCTGCACATGCTCAACTCTTCTCTGCTTTCTCCCATGATTGAACCAACTTTCAATTACACCACAAAAAAAAAGAACCTCAGGTGCACTCCCCTTCACAATTCAAATCGAAATCTATTGACATCCGTAAAAAAATCGATAACCTGACAATACGCGTAAACTAAAGCAACACCGTGCAGTTACACAATCACATTTATAGCCAAATGCAGGGTAGCACCTGCTATGAATCTCCTCTCCTCTATTCCACAGACTCCTGCTACATCGTCTATACCCTTCATAGCACACACCCTCGCCCACCCCTCTTTCCCATGCGGTCCCCCATCTCTTCTCTTGCACCCTCACTTCCCTAACTGTTCCCCAACCCTTGGCTGATGTCGACTGATCAGGGGCACACATATGTACGTATGGGGGGTAAAAGCTGCAATCCACACACAGCTCTCCAGAGTGAAAGTTGACGTCAGTAGTTCTCAAGACCATTGCCTATTTACATTGGTTTCCAAAGCACTAACCTTCTGTACGCGATGTTGCCGAAAAGAACAAAAAAGAGGAAGGTATGTGAGCCAGCCACGAGCAATTTTCATTCAGTCAATGACAAGCCGCCGCCTTTGCGGCACTTCAGCCTCTCCGCAGCAGAGCAATTCGTCCTCTCGAGTCTCAACCTTCTCACCTTGTTATTTCAAATTCTGGCTATAGCCAAACAGTTCGCTCAACCTGGTACAACTTTATCGCCTCATTTCCGTGAAGAGCTTTGAATCCACTGGCGATCTCGATGCAGGGAGCGGCGCACTTCCAAAACCACCCGCACCTCTTGCAGCAAACCCTGCAAACCCACCACCACCGCCAGCAGCTCCACCAAATCCCCCGCTGCCGGCAGCTAAACCAGCAAATCCACCACCACCTGTTGCAGCTGCCCCAAATCCGCCGCCTCCTGTTGCCGCCGCAGCAAATCCACCGCCCGCGCCCGCTGCAGCAGCAAATCCACCACCTGTTGCCGCTGACGCAAAACCACCACCTGTTGCTGCTGATGCAAAACCACCACCTGTTGCTGCTGACGCAAAACCACCACCTGTTGCTGCTGAGGCGAAACCACCGCCTGTTGCCGCTGAGGCAAAACCACCACCAGTAGGAGAAGCTGCAAACCCCGCAACTGCCGCACTGGGTGCTCCAAAGCCTGGAAGCCCAGCCGATGCTCCCAGGGTCCTGGTCTGTCCAAATGTTCCAAGAGCCTTCCCAACAACAGCAGCCGCACCACCGCTACCACTATTGAGCGGAACGGGGGCTGCTGGTTGTGCAGGAACCCCGAATCCTGGCTGCATACCCCCCCCAGCAGCAGATGCAAAAGCCGATGACTGTGGGCCTTGCCCTGCAGGTTGATTTCCAAAGGCATTCGATCCTAATGTGGATGTTGAATTGGCGGTCCAGAATGCGGATGCACTGCTGCTACTGGTAGTAGCAGAGCCTGTCTTAGGCTCTGCTTGCGGAAGAGAAAATGCAGGCGGTTTAAATATCTCGCCAGCAGGTAGTGTGCTGAGGATGTTCTGCATCCCTTGTGACAAACCGGACCCCTCCATTTTGCCACCGAAAAGACTCTTACCCTCTTTCTCGCCCTGCTGCAGCGATGTCTGCAATGCACCAAAACTCAATCCCCCGAGGTCCACAAAGGTATTGACTATTTCTTCCATTGGCTGATCCTCTTCCAGCTGAACACTAGGCTGAGGCTGCGCAGATGGCAGAGCTGGCCGAGGTGCACTGAACAGATTTGTCGCCGTAGTGGAAGCTGCAAACAATGTTGACGATGCTGATGCCGACGACGACGTGGAGGCAGCAGTTAACAATGATGACGATGACGATGGCGTCGAAGCTCCAGTTGATAACGATGAGGACGACGACGATGACGATGGCACCGATGGTCCTGTCGATGACGGCAATGATGACAAAGATGATACCGGTAGCGATGATGATAACGATACTGCAGACCGTTGTGATGACGCTAGCGGTGGTGCTGCCGACGAAGATGGAGGCAGCGGTGGTGGCTGCAGTGCTTGTGGTGGTGGTGACGATGGCAGTGGCGGGGGTACTGCAGGTAATGCTGTTGGCTTGTCAGATGGGAGAGCGGAGACAGATGAGGGAGCTGTAGTCAGACCTGATATGTCATTAGCTGCAAGGGATTGTGAAACTGAACTTGACGAGGAGGCTGCAACCCCTGACATTGATACGATAGGAGCCTTGCTGCCCTTAACTGATTCCGGAAGGGGTGACGATGTTGACCGTCCAGGAGTTGCCAGAGAACTCTGCTGCTTTGTCCCACCAAATCCCTCCTCTGCGCCTGATGATTCCCTTTGGTCTGCTCTGGTTGACGTTTCAATACCTTTGCCGGCACCACTTGGTCCTGATTTCCCATTAGCAGCCGCTTCACGCCGGCCAGCCAAACCACCTCCATCTGCAGAGGCACTCTCATTTCCAGCTGCTCTCTGCTGCTCCCCCAAAGAAAACCCCTGAGTAGCTGCACCAGGTGGTCGAAACATTTGCTGCCTTCCTGCTGCCCGCTGCTGCGATACCTCCTGCTTCGCAATTGAAAGTCCGACTGTATCGGACAATAACGGCTTCGCTCGATTTCCTACCTGATTACTACCGGTCACTGCTACAGCCGGTTGCGCCTGCTCAACCACAGACCTCAGCAGTCCACCGCTTGCGGACCTCGCCTCAGCAGCCACACCAGCCAACGACTTTGATGATGATGCCGCAAGCCCAGCTTCTGACATGCGTTTTGCTGCCGTACCTTTTGAAAACAATCCGGTTAATCCTTCGGGTTGTGTTGCCACCGCAGCGGTCAGTGATGATTGCGATGCTGCTGTCCCCTTTACACCCCCCGGCGGCAAGCCATTTAACTGGCGGAAGGGTGATTCCTTTGAAAACAGAGTTGGTGGAAGCTGATTTTCTGGTCGGACAACCTTCACAAATCCTGTTGTCAATGCCGGTACATCCACCTTCCCTGCTTCCTTCACGACAGCATTTGGTCCTCCGTCAGGCTGCTGACCAGTCGGCACGGCAGCCGGCATCTGTAAAATAGCTCCCCTTTGCTGCTGCTGCTGCCTGCCAGATTGCTGCAGGAGGTTTCCTCTGGCTTGATTAAGCATGGGTGTTGTGCCAAAACCTTGAGTTCCTTGCGCCCCACCAGTCAGAGGTCCAGCGAAGCCGCCAGGTCTCCCAAAACTACTCGCCGAACTGAAAGATAAGCCGGAAAATGCCGGTACAGGTGTTGCCGCAAGAGAGTATGCTGCTGTCCCAGGCTTGACGGACGGGACAGGCATTGACATGGCAAGGCCGACAAGTTGAGGGTCGGGTGGGGGAACATTCGGTAGCAGATGTCCTGTGTTGGAAAGCACGGTTGCTGCTGGGAGATTACCAGCAGCACCTCCCGACGTTTGCGATGGGCGATTGAACATCCCCTGAGGTTGCTGCTGAGATCTTTGAGAAGACTGAGGCTGCTGAGCTGGGACAGATGCTGTAGCTCCTGGAGGTTTAGACACCTGTGATATGGCCCGTGGCCGAACTGGGTCCTTTGGCGGTGACGATCCTGTACCCACCGAGTTATTCGCTCGTGCTGACCAGCCAATCACAGAGCCCCACTCCGAAGAGGATGTTCTTACACCCCTCTTAATTGTTGTCATGGGTGTTCTGACAGACTGCCATGCATGCAACACCTGCAAGACACAGAACCAACTCGTAAATGTCACTTGGCGAAGAAAACGTACACACTGTGACTGTGTGCATGCCGCACACGGCGCACAGGTTTCTCTCTTGATAGCTTGGCGCATCTGTATTCATCATAAAAGGCTATACAAACACAATATCCTTGATCTTATGTCTTGAGAACATTGACCATTTCCAGCAGTCAAAGTAACGATACAATGGAAAGAAAAAGTCGCACAGGACCCATGAATCACATGTGTGTGTCCAAGTTTCTCCGCTCTTAAATGTCTCCGTTTTTCTCTCTTTTTTTTTCCTTCTGAAAAAGGGCGACGGCCTTTAGACATCATTGAACTGACCGGCCCTGTGAGTCTGTATTTCAATTTTCACCAGTTCAGGGGTGTACCAACTGAGCTCTAGGCCCGTTGCTAAGTTTCTCCTCTCTTAAATGTTAGAGAAATGGAAAAGAAAAAGTCATGGAGATGTAATCACATATGCTCAGCTGTATTCAAAGCTGCAATCCCACAAGCTGCACACTTAGAGGCCATAAGATGCCAAAAAATCGACAAGGTGCTACCTTCCTCCCCGCAATAGAACGTACAAGTCGTACAGTCATTATCCCTGTATCTAGACTGAAAATTGGAATGGAATAATGACACAGGATGCATGAATCACACGTTTGTAGAGGTGAATCTGTGTTTCTCCTCTCTTACGTGTCAGAGACATGTAATCACATATGCTCAGCTGTATTCAAAGCTGCAAACACACAAGGTCCATACTTGAGGTCAGGAGGTGCCAAAAGGTCTACACGATGCTACCGTCTTCCCCCAAATAGAACACCCAGTCATTATCCGCATATCAAGACTGAACATTGCACCAAATGCAGCTATAATGCCCGCAATTTCTTTTCAGGCGAAAACGGTAGAGGGCATTGAAATCCCACAAAGGATCCTTTAGAGCAACAGCAGCCACCACAATGACATCGGTTTTAAGGCAACGCCGCACCAGCACGTTCTGAGTACATGAGCCCTATACAACAGTAATCCTATTGTGGGCCGGGCTATACCACATCACTCAGCCAGAAAGCGTCACAAACATCAGCCTGGCTAGATTTCGTTGGTCTAAATGTAGAGGATTCACCTCACCTCAGAATCTGCTTGGCTGGCAGCAACGGTTCTTTTTTTCTTTTCTTTGGCGAAGAGCAGAAATCCGCCACCTCAAGAAACAGCGTAGACGTCGTGGTGGTTTGGGTGCAAACGTTTGCAATGTTGGCACAGCAACCGAGCAATTAGCTTACCTGTTGCCTTAAGCCAGCAGTACTGGAATCTTGCCGCCAAGACTTGCAGCTGTGTAAGCATATAGACACGCTTTTGGCATACCGACCTGGGATTGAAAGTTTGATTCCTTAGGGAGCAGAAAATTTTAGGCTCGACAAAAAATAGGGTCCACAGTACTGGTGGTTTAAGTGCAGTTTTGCCAGCAAATTGATAAGAGGCATTGAGAGCACAGCAAACACACACACACACACACACACACACACACACACACACACACACACACACACACACACACACACACACACACACATTTTGACAATATTCAATTTAAATGAGCATCCATAAGAGGGTTGTCATATCATGGGAATTGCCTTAGTGGACATAGCTAGGACATAAGTAAAAGAGAAAGGCGAGTGAAATGCGGGTAGGAGCATAGGATTGATTACACCCGCTCCTGGTGTACCACATAAAATAGTGGAGAGCACATAGCGTTTCTATCCTCCGAGTTGGAAGTAACACACACACACACACACACACACACACACACACACACACACACACACACACACACATACGCGCGCGTAGCTGCAAAGATGTTCGGAATCGTCATGAGTGCATCAGAAGCACATACCTCTCTAACCTGTTCACGTCGGCGACTTGCAGTCTGAGGAGTTTCCATAACCGATGACACCTGTGAGAGAGTTTCTCCAGCCTCACTGCAGGATTCTTCAAGCTCATCATCATCTGCCATGATCGCAGAGGCTCGCCCAATGACAGCCCCGCCCGCTCGAGAGATCTGCGCCCGTGGGAAACGGCACCCTCTCCTCATCGGTGACGAGGAGCGCTCTGATGTTGATACTGATGACAATGATGGAGATGTTTTTTCTGGAGATGCACCGATTGCTTGGAGAACAGCTTGCGCAGACGCCCTCCTAACTGGAGTTGATGGCGACTGCTTCAAGCCCAGTTGATCCATCTGCACAGAAAGACGGTTGGCAAGGCCTTCTGCGATTCCCAGATAAGAATTCACTGTACTGTAAAGAGACTGCGCGGACGGCAGCGATTGCCTGTTGATGCCCAACAACAACAACAAAATAGCGATACTAATAAGAGGCTGATTTCCTTAGCTTTTTGAGATTGAAATCCAGTATTTTATCGACATATTTTATCAACAGAATATGATCGGCAGATGGCCTGCTTATGCCCAGTGAAAAATGAAAGACTGGCTTGTATTCCGTATTTTATCCGCAGAACAAAATCAGCAGTCAGTCACACTGAGTACTTCCAGCATGTGTTACCTTTGTTGCGGGTACTTGTTCTTCCCCTTCATCTTCTCTTTTGTTGTTGTTGTCATCCATTCACTCTTCATTATCCTTTTCTTCAACCTCAGTCCTCATCCTGCTTCTTCTCATGATCCTCTTCCTCTCTCCTTCTGCTCCTCCTCGTACTTTTTCTTCCGTCTCCTCCTCTAACATTTGTCTTTGTCCTGATTTTTTTTGCTTTCGCTTTGACTTTACCAAGAGTTTTCAACAGTCACCCATCCTATACAGTCACCACAACATGCCATAAGGCCAATAACATAATTCAACTCACCCCAGCGTTGCACACGCCGACCGTCGGCGACCCTTGACTGGTCGACTGCCGACCCGCCGACCGGTCGGCTGGTCGGCAGGTACCGGTCGGGGTCGTCGCCAACCCGGAAAAAAAATAAAAAAATAAAAAAATTGGGGGGGGGTGGGGGGTGGGGGGGGGGGGCCCAAACCCCCAAAAACCCCCCAAAACCCCCCCAACCCCCCCCCAACAACCCCCCCCACACCCCCCCCCCCCCCCCCCCCCCCCCCCCCCCAAA